ATACAGTCTACCCCTTGTATATAATATTATTATATATTATGAATTATATTATCTATATATATATATATATATATATATATATATATTATATATATAAAAAAAACTACTAAATCATCTTGTAAATGCGTTTCGCATAGAACTGTATGAATAGTATTTTCTGTATTTTAATGATTTTTTTTAAAATTTTTTATCAACTGTTAAAATCAAATGATCTAAAGTTTTGAATAGGTATGGTGTTAATKGTAACGTTAGATATCACTATATAGGTCTAAAGATTTAATAATATTATTGTTTTGGTTTAAATATTTATTATTTTTGGTCATATATTATGTATATTTATCGAAAGATAAAACAGCCGTTGTATAAATAGTATTCCCTTGCTGAGGATCACGTTGAGACTTAATTCCATGGCATCATTTTTATCTAACATATTGTCATCATTTTATTTACGATATCTACTTTGGTTAAAAATTTTGTAGATTCGTGAAAATGTACAAATCAGAACAATAATTTCAGCTACTAAGCGTAGTGAAATACTAGAMGTGTTCACAGGACTAGGTATGGGACATTAAAATCCTTGACGAATTTGTATTTTATTTTTTAAAYAGGATTTCATTTACACATAACGTTCCGTTCATTGCATTGGAGTTTGATTTTATGCAGTTTAATATTATTGTTTATTAACGATCCCCTTCATCAMCTCATGCATCATTTGAGAAACATTTTATTTGTAATTTTTTTCGAACGTGACCGCCACCCGACCACCACAAAGTGATTGTGTACGTTCACACCGACAGAATATCATAAAGTGCTCACCAGTRCAAACTGGTACAGTGGCAATCACATTAGACTAATCAAACAAATTAAAATTAACATATATTCCTATTATATATATACCTCCTAAGAACACATTGGACGAGTAACACAATTCAATCGTAAATTCCGGGCACGTAAGACGACGTCATCGCCGTCAGGTCCCAAATAACTAGGATAAATGCGTTTTTATAATTACGCTTTATAATTATAAGTATAATAATAATATTTATTATTATTAATATTAGCCGTTCCATGCTAAAAAAAAAAAATAATAATAAAGTATGTAAATAAAACGTCAATCACCTCCTCGGAACAGAATTTTTTGTTTTTAATAGCGTACTGTGTTACAATTAGCCGCTACAATTTTTGATATTTATAAATATTTTATACATAATTAGGTAATTATATTATCATATTTATCCATAGCTCTTAAAGTAAGGGCCAAGTCTAGTGTTCAGGAACCAGGAATTTTTTGGATTTCGTTGAAATAAATGTTGATATTAAAATTTTTTTTTTACTAWGYAATAATAATTTTACTATATAAATAAACTTTATAAAAGTATTAATTCATTTTGTTATTTTAACCATTGATCATCTTTAAACTGTGTATGATACAAACGTATCACGTMTTGTAAACAGTTGTAGTTTATTGGACATTTTGCATTTGACTCCAACGAAACATTTAGTGCAGAAGTACAAAATTAGAAGAGTGGGGTTTGTATTAATTTATTACCAACTGTTGGCGTGTACAGTCATAGTATAATATATTTATGTCTATATTATTCAGCCGAGTGGTGATAAATTGATTCTTGATAGTTCGAGAAAATTCAGTCATCAGTCTATCAAATACTTACAAGCTAATTTTGAGATATTTAACTCTAAATATTTTGAAGTCTAACTAATTTGTATTTTCCTTGAGATATGAATCTTCGACATTCGATTRTAWATTCTTGTATGATGGGAACGTGGACTTTTCATCCACGTGTTCAACTGTTGTTTGATATAAAAATATAATTACTGCGTTTRATAAATTCATAAATATAATTATTAAAATGCCTTAAAAGACGATGTACTAGTCCGTACAAATTCATGATATTATTTATTAGGTTGTCATACATTATAAAAATAATTYACTTCACACTGTGCTTACATTTAATGTCATTTAAATCTATTATGATACTATTGTTATTCGTACATATCTTCAGTTCATATCTGTTAAATGYTTTAAGAATCACATTTTTTACAACCATTTTTTTTCAAATACCAAAATTCAAATCGTTTCTTAGAAGGTGAACGTTTTATWACTTTTATTTTATTACCTTTCTCTCTATTTTTGTCCATTACAATTCAGGCCGCATATTACCTATACTGTACTCGGCAACTGTCTTTCAAATCCACCCCCACGCAGATACAAGCATTAGTTCTAGTTTTTGAAGTTTCAGATCAACGGTCAGTATTCCTAATTTTCACTAAGTGCTGTTTTAGTTTTGACACTAATATTATT